CCTTAGGGATCCCTTCAAACTCAGGATATTCTGTGATTCTGATCAGGCTGAGCAGGAGTGAATACACTACTAAAAGGCTATCAGCATTATGAAGCCTCTGAATACTTTGAGAAATCTAACCTTGTTATCCCTCCATGTATTAATTAATCATTGCAGAAGGTTTTCCATTTTGTTCTGAAAAATACCAACTGATAAATTTTCAGAGGAAAGAGGAAAGCCTTTTCTGCCTGGCTCAACTTCATTTGCATCAACTTTCTGAATTCCTATTCCTTATGCTTCAGAAAATGCTACTTTTTTTTTTAATAACAATTAAAATTTATTGTTATTTTAAATAATACAATAAATCTGAAATTTGTAAGCATTCAACTGACCTCAAGTCGGAGATGCATTGTTTAGACAATTTAAGCAATGTCATGTTAATAGGGCTCACTGACGTAGCAATAACTTTAATAGATTACATTGAAAATCACAGAAAACCACAGAATTGCCAGGGTTGGAAGGGACCTCAAGGATCATGAATCTCCAACCCCCCTGCCACAGGCAGGACCACCAACCTTCCCATCTAATGCTAGACCAGACTGCCCAGGGCCCCATCCAATCTGGCCTTGAACACCTCCAGGGACGAGGCATCCACAACCTCTCTGGGCAGCCTGTTCCAGTACCTCACCACTCTCTCTGTAAAGAATTTCCCCCATGTCCAACCTAAATCTCCCTTCCCTCAACTTAAAACCATTTCCCCTTGTCCTGCTGTCACTCACCCTTTCAAAGAGTTGATTCCCCTCCTCTTTGTAGGCTCCCTTTAGGTACTGAAAGGCTGCAATGAGGTCACCTCGCAGCCTTTTTTTCTCCAGGCTGAACAAGCCCAGCTCCTTCAGCCTGTCCTCGTAGGGAAGGTGCTCCAGTCCCCTGATCATCTTTGTGGCCCTCCTCTGGACCCTCTCCAACAGCTCCCTGTCTTTTTTGTACTGGGGGCTCCAGACTTGGATGCAGTACTCCAGATGGGGCCTCACAAGAGCAGAGTAGAGAGGAACAATCACCTCCCTGTCCCTGCTGGCCATCCCTCTTTTGATGGAGCCCAGGATACCATTTGCCTTCCGAGCCGCAAGGGCACACTGCTGGCTCATATCAAGTTTTTCATCCATCAAGACCATCAGGTCCTTCTCCACATTACCAATTTAAAACAAAGTATTTATTTTGAATGCCCTCAAAAAAATCTTTTTGAAGTTAAAATACCTAGAATTTGTGAAAAAATGACTTAAGCCCCAGACAAAATCCTCAAGTACTAAACCAATCTGGAGTGCGTGCCATTCAACTAATAATTCTGCCCATTGTAGGAGGTATGTTATGTCTGATTTTTAATTACGCTTTGTGTAAATATCCCCAGAGGCTTATGCAATAGGTAGAGGCTTAAGTAAGGCAAGCTGGAGGAGGCAGGCGGCCTGCTCTGGAGAGAGAGCCCAAGATGTGTGCTGGCTCCGCAGCCGAGGGCCAGTAAGCTCTGGATGCCATGGGGCAGCTGAGCCCTGAGGAGCACACCAGGGCACTTGCTGCACTTACACACTCATCCCCAAAGGCTATGTACTGAACAGAACTCTGAGATCTTTCGGAACATTTGGCAGCACAGCTGGCTTCTTATACTTGATTCACAACAGATCAGCAAACCACACAATCTTGCAAGCACTAACAGTGCCATATTTATCACTTGCTTCAACTTCACATGTCTATGGCCCAGTCTTCTTCCAAGACAGAGTTTGGTAAAAGTCTGCACACCCTGCAGCCGGAAGTCCTCCACCACTGAGGACCCTATGGATTCCACATACGTGCACTATTAATCACTGCCCTGACAGCATGCCTTCACCCTGACCTACAGGCTCTGCAACCAGTATCACAGAGCCTGCTTTGCACTCATGCCTTTGGCACCACTGTTAAGTGCCAGCAGAACTCACAAGGCCTGGTAAGAATGCACTCAAGGATGCACCAAAATTTCACTTCAAGCAAGTAGCCAGCTGCATCCAAATCCCAAACTGCTTCCCAAGCACCGAGGCCAGAGCCACTCTGCTGCTTAGAACACAACTGAAATTCTCTCCAAGCACCCAGAGAATCACAGCTTCCCTTCTATTCTACACAGGAATAGCAGAAAGCCTCCTGGCCTCCTCTTTCCATGGCCAAAGGCATGCTTCAGCTTGCATGTGTTTCTGTTTGCATGTGATAATTTTAACTGGTAATTCTAGAAAATGCTCCATTTGAATTTCTCCTTACAGACCTCTCACAACTCAGTCACACAGCACCCAGTCCAGCCTCTGCTTTCCCAAGCAGCTGAAGCAGCTGCCTGGTGCCTCTCGCAAGCAGGCACTGATCTGGAACGCCAGAAAGCTCCATCCTTCCTCCCCATTTTGCAACACATGATAAACACAGCACCCACTCCTCACTGGCTTCACCTGTAAAAGTGGGACAGCACTCTCACCAAAACTACCTGAAAACCCAATGTAAGAAACACAATACATCTTCTGAAAAGTTAAGCTAAAATACATTATTGCTCTTTACCTTCTCTAGGTAAAAATTTCATTATGTTCATCTTTCTGAAATTCTCTAATGACTTTTTTCTACTTCATCTGCCATTTTAATGAAATCTAATTACTTTAGCATATTACACTCAGACAAAGAAACAAAAACCAAATACTGATGCACAGACACAGCACAGCCTACAGAACACTGCACCATGATTTTCATGGCTTCAAAAGTAGAGAAAAGAGCACATATTAGGGCCTCATGGCAAACATTCCCATTATTTATTTCATTCTCCCTTCTCATTCCCACTAATTTCACACAGTGGTAGCAGCTGAAGGCATACACCCAGATCAGTGACTCATGACATGAGACCACAGTCCAAACAGTCACTGGGTTTTCATAGCAGCGCTACTCAAGAACTGCAGTGTTCCATCCCAATAGTTCAGTTGTCTTGTCTTTGTTCAAAAACAAAACAACCAGGACAAAAAAAGGCAAAAAGTCAAAACCCAAAAAAGCCCACAGCACATTGGCAACAGGTGCTTCTTGAGTTCTCACACTCACAGAAAAAAAACAGAAAATTCACCTCTGGCCCTCACAACCATGTTCCATAACCTACCAAGGCTAGAGAGGCGCAAGGCATATCTTTCCCATCCATTTTTCTCCTACACATTGCTCCCCACAATCAGAGACACAAAACCCAAGAATCCCCCAAGCAAGTTCAGTCTCAAAGATTGGCCCAACTCCTCTAACTGCACTCTGGAAGTCTCCAAGTGCTTTAACTTCAACTTAATTTTGATGATATATTTAAAAAAATGCTCTTCTCAGGTTTTTCAAACAAACAATTTTAATTTATCAGCTGTCTGTGAAACCTTTTCTTCAGTGCTAACCTCCTGACTTAAAGCTTGCTATTACTCACAAGACCAATTGAATGCTTATGAACACCTGAGCTGCTCAATCTTCACATCCTTTAAATAATAGGGTGAGCTGAAACAGAATAGCAGAGCTCCACCATTTCCATCTTGCAAGGAAGGCCACAAACATTGTTACATAGTCCATTCCACATCATTTTCCAGGTTCTGTAAGTAGTGTTGCACTTTCAAGGATACATTAACATGTGAACCAGCAGACAAAAAAGACATCAGGAAACTCCTGAGTTACTTGTGTCCTATTCATTCCCGACAGGCCTACCACCTTTCCAAAAGAGGAAGACCGCTCAACACGTAATCCTGTAACACCTTGTGCTCACAACACCAGACTTCTATGGAACATTCATCTCAGGTGAGTTTTATCTGCTTGATCATTAGATTTTGAGCATAGTTATGTGTCCTGCCTCAACCCACAAGCAAAGCAGAAATATGGGTCTCTGTCAGTCTAATCACTTTTTAATTCAGACCTCAGCTGGGCTGGGCAAAAGATGAACAATGGAAGGCAGAAAATTTAGACATACAAGGAAAGATGTAGGCTCCCCTTCTTCCAAAGAAACATGTGCACACACTTAAGTACCCACTCCTGGCCCTCATATTGCACTGGCTATCATCTTCCTCATCCTGCAGAAGCACAAAGAGGCACAAAACACTGAAGCTACAACATGCTTCCAAGTGATGGCCACTCTTCCCTAACTCCCACTAAAAGAACATTAAGTGCTACAGCAGTGGCTGAGATCCTAGCATTTCTTTCTAATTGACAACAAAGACAGTCAGATTCACCCCTTGGTGTGCAACGAGCGGGCAGCAGCAGCAGAGGCCATCTCTTCTTAGGCTACACAAAACAGTCCCAGATACAAGTTCCCAGGGCCAAAATGCTCCATTTGGGCTGGGATGGGGTTCCAGTCCCTCCCACACACCTTTCCCTTGGAACCCTCCACAGGTTTGGCAGATCAAAGGGAAACACCTCCATTACCCTCTGCCATTTCTTCCAGAACGAGGACGTTGGGTAAAGACCACTTCCATTCCACAGAGCCGCACCTACCCGGAATTCAGCACTCTGGGAACCATGGATTCCCCCACCAGAGCCCAGCGCGACAATACCGGGGGCTGGAGGCTTCATTCCGTTCCCGCAGCAGAAGAGATGCCCTCTGCTCGCGGGAGATCCTCACCCACCGCTCGGAACACGGCTCCAAGTGGAAACCGCTCCCAGAGGTCGGCCCGCGCCCACCCTGCGCACGCCGAGAGGAGGCCGCAGGCGCAAGGCCCGGCCGGCCCGGGGCGGAGCGGAACGGCCGGGCCCACCCGCGGCGGGGCCGACCCCTCTCCCCCGTCGGAAGGCCCCGTGCTGGGCGCCGGGACCCCGCCCCCGCGGCTCCGGTGCGGCCGCTCACGCCTACGGCCGCGGTGAGGCCCGGCCGGGAGCAGCGCTGAGGAGAGGCGCGGGCCGCGACCCCCAGCGCCGGGCGGGGCGGCGGGGAGCGCCCGGAGCCGACGGCGACGGCCGGGCGCGGCGGGAGGCCGGCTCTGTCAGGAAGCGGCGGCCGGGCTCGGCCGCGGAGCGCTCACCTCGGACACCTCGTCCTCGTCGCTGCCGGAGCCGCCGCCGCCGCCCCCGCTCCGCAGCACGGCGGCCGCCAGCTTGAAGTCGAGGGCGGCCTCACCGGCCGCGGGTGCGCCGGAGCCTCCGGGACCGCCGGGCCCGGCCTCCCCGAAGAGGCGCACGGCCCGCAGCCCCAGCGGGGAGGGCCCGGCCGCGGCGGGCGGCTCGGCGGCGGGCGGCGCGCGGGGAGCGACCGAGTCGATCTCCTCGTCGCCGAGGGGGGCGGCGGTGCCGTCCGTGAGCATCGCGCTGATCCGGGACCGCCACCGCTCGCAGAGCCCAGCCGTCGCCGTCCCTCACGGCACCGCAGCAGCGCCACTAACTTCTCACACCCTACCCGGCCGCGCCGCCCACCCGCCGCGCTGCCCGCGCCCATTGGCCGGGGGCGTCCCACGGCCGCGCGCTATTGGGCCGCGCCGCCGCCACTCCGAGCGACGTCACGCGTTCCCAGCATGCTGCCTTGAGAGCACACGCCGAGGCGGTTTGAGCCCCCTGCCCCGCCCCGCTTCCCTGGCCTCGCTTCCTGAACTTTCCGGAAGCCGATTGGTTACTCGGAACGTCCGTCAGGCGTCCCGCCTGAGTTTCGGGCGCCAATTGGGTCGCCGAGCTGTCTAACAACCGTAATACGAGAATCCGAGATTCTGGTTGCCTAGAAGGCCCGTCGCTCACAACGCGTGCTGTCTGACGCCGCCCGATTGGCTCTTGCTGCGGCATAGCCCCTCCCTTCCCCTTCGCCGCTCTCTGAAGGGCTCCATCAGCGCAGAAGCCGACACCGCCCCCCCTCCTCGAGCGCCCACTGGCGCGCGGCGCTGCCCGTCAATGCGCGTAACCCGGCCGTGAGCGGCCCGCCCCGCCGCCCCCAGCGAGCGCGCGATTGGCCCCGCACGCTGCCACTCACGTCACCTGCGGCCCCGCCGGTGGCGGCGCCCGCGTGGCCACGTGGCCTCTGTCAGTGCGTGGTGTGCGGGCCGCGAGCGGGCTGGAGCGCGGTTTTCCTCCAGAAGGAAGAGCCGAGAGAACGGCCCAGGGCCAAAGCACCTTTATTCAAATGCCAATTATCTTCATTATCCGCGCGAGCCCTGCAATTTTAGTGAGAACTACTGCTGATAGGTGGATGGTTGGACCGGATGATCTTGTCGGTCTCTTCTAACCTCGGCGTTTCTGTGATTCTGCGATTCTGCAATCCACCGACGTGCCGTGGGGCCGCGGTGCCCGCAGGCCGAGAGCCGGCCGGGATCGGAGCGAGGCCGCCCACAGCCAGGGCACGGGGCTGGGCACGGGGCTCGGCACGGAGCAGAGCGAGCGCAGGTTTGGGCCCTGCTGCAACGCGGAGGCGATAAGCGCCCGCCAGCGGGCCTCGTGTCAGCGCTGAGTGGGAGGCGAGCAGCAGGCCTTGTCCGGGCCGCTCTGCTTGTGCCTCGTCCCGGCCGCAGCCCTAATTCACGGAGATGTTGATCTCTCGTCCTTGGCGATACATCAGCTCAGACTGGAGGAGAAGCAAGGGGGCGATGCGGTTGGCAGCGCTCCCGGTCACCCACCGGCAGCCGTGCCCACAGCATCCAGCTCCTGTAGCTGCTCGGCCTGCCGCTGGCCGGCACTGTGGCACGGGGTGTGCTGAGCCCATGGCCCAGCATGCCAGCTCTGCTGCTGTCCCCGCTCCCACAGCCACTCCCTAGATGAAAGCACCGCAGCTCTGGTGCCATTCCATCTGGATTTGGCACCTTGTGCTGGGCTGTTGGCTGTTCCTGCGTCTCCGGGCAGGCAGATGCTGCTGCCCGAGCTGCGTGCCCTGGCCAGGTGCAGCCCCTGCACCACAGAGCCCTGCAGGGATGGCTCCAAAAGAGCGCAGCTCCCAGGATATCACCCACCTCTTCATCAGCGTTGCTTTCCTGCTCCTCCTGCTTCCTGTGCAGTTTCCCCTCTGCCTCCTTCCTGGCTGCTGCAGGCATAATGTTATCCAGCCAGCTCAGGTCATGCAGGGAGAAGATGCACTCAAGTGCCTTCCGGATCCCCACCAGGGCCAGCAGCTGGGGCCAGGGCAGAGCGTAAGTCAGCACTGTGCAATGCACGGGGCTTGGGCCAGGGGACTGTCAGCGTGATGCTTCCCATGTGGGTGCAGGTCAGTGGGTTTTAACCAGCCTGATTACAAGAGACATCCTACCATCACTGGGAAAACAATGGCAGCCGCAGTGGACTTGATGACCCAAAGCATGGCCAGGCACAGCAGCTGGATGAAGGTGAAGAGGTGCACCCGGCGCAGTGGCACATGGCGGAGGTAGAGGTGATCTGGCTGGTGTTTCGCAGGCATCAGAAGCAGCCGCACTCGGTCCGTGAACTGCAGGGAGAGGACGGCAGGTTTGTCAAACACAGCACAGAAAAAGGATGCTTATACACTTGCAGTCAGCTGTCACCCACCTCCCTGCTGTGCCCACCCCATCGCCTAGAACAGAGGGGTGCCAGTGACTGCCCCTGAGGCAGGCCAAGCCCTCTGCCCTGACACTCCATGCTGTCGCCAGGGCTGCTCATGGGATCTGTTGCAGGGGAGTTGATCTGAACAGTGCTACAGAACCTGGGGCTATGGCCTCTGGCTGTGGTTAGAGGAGCTCTTTCCAGGCAGATGTTTAGGGGAAAAAAAAGAAAAAAGAGGTAGATATTTCTGGAGCATGGATTGTCCCTGCCCAGGGTTTAGCAGGCATACGGCAGAGTTGGCAAATCAGAGCTGCTGCAGAGACATCCTGCAGCTGTGGGGAGTTAATCTGGGCCACCCACTGGTCCCTCTGCTTCACTCAGACCACCTGATCCACCAAAGCAGGAATAACTCATGTTCCCCAGCAACCCAGACACCCCTCCTTCCTTCTGCCCGATTTTAGGTCCAAATTCAAGGCATTGAGCCATACTGCACAGTGTGAGCTAGTATTGAGCAAAGCCCTTCCTCCCTAAGACCCACAAGTATCCCAATACAATCCAGAGACATGTTCTGTGCAGCCCCACTCACCTGGATGCTGTTCAGAGCTGCCACTCCCATGTGCAGAAAGACCCCATACAGCACTGGCATTGGGATATACTGCAAAACCAGGGTGAGGCATCAGCAGGCTGCAATTTGCACTCTCTAAGCTATATCTCCTCTAAGACCAGTACGTATATACAGCTGCAGTATTTGTTTTCTTCTATTTGAATAGCACAATTTCATTTCATGTGTTTTTGCTTATCTTATGGCTCCAAGGGCATTACAACTGGATGTGTTCCTGTCTATGATGGAAGTGATGCAAGGACATCACAATCTTCAGAGAGGGGACAAGTTCTGAGATGCTTGCCCCACTCTCTAGCTGGGAGTAACCCAGGCTGGAGATAAGGCACCAAGGCACTTGGAGATGGGTCATACAGCATTGGATTTATAAATAGTAGGGTGACTGACAAAGCAAATGCAGGCTTTGCCCTGGGATGTGTGACTGAAGGACCATGGCCTAGCTGCAGCCAGCAGCCAGCTCTGTGAAACAGCACAGCAAGCTGTCCCCTGGCTGGCACAGTGTGGAGCTGCAGGCCAGATGGAAGGTCATAGAATCACAGAATCACCAAGGTTGGAAAAGATCTCCAAGGTCATCCAGTCCAACATTCCACCTATCACCAATATTTCACACAAAACCACATCCCTCAGTATAACATCTAAACACTTCTTGAACACCTACAGAGACAGAGACTCCTCCCCCTCCCTGCACAGTCTGTTCCAGCACCAGACAATTCTTTCAGTTAAGTATTTCCTAACATCCAACCTGAACCTCCCCTGGCACAATTTGAGGCCATTCCCTCTCGTCCTATCGCTAGTTTTGTGGAAGAAGAGGCCAACCCCCACCTCATCACAACCTCCCCTCAGATAGCTGTAGAGAGCAGTAAGGTCACCCCTGAGCCTCCTCTTCTCCAGGATGAACAACCCCCATTCCCTCAGCCTCTCCTCATAAGGCCTGTGCTCTAGACCCCTCAACAGCTTTGTTGCCCTTCTCTGGACACGCTCCAGGGCCTCAATGACTTTCTTGTAGTGAGGGACCCAAAACTGAACCCAGCACTTGAGGTGCAGCCTCACCAGAGCTGAGTACAGAGGGATGATCACTCCCTGCTCCTGCTGGCTGCATTATTGCTGACACAAGCCATTGGCCTCCTTGGCCACCTGGGCACACTGCTGGCTCATGTTCAGACGAGCATCAACCAACACTCCCAGGTCCATTTCTTCCACACAGTCTTCCAGTCACTGTGCTCCAAGCCTGTAGCATTGCCTGAGGTTGTTGTGGCCAAATTCTGGACACAGCCCTTGGTCTTGTTCAACTTCATCCCACTGGCCTGAGCCCAGCAATCAGCCTTTCCAGATCCCTCTGTAGGACCTTCCTACCCCCAGGCAGAATGATGCTTCCTGCCAACTCGGTGTCATCTGCAAACTTCCTAAGGGCACTCAATACCCTCATCCAGGTCATCAGTAAAGATACTGGACAGGACAGGCCCCAGTACTGATCCCTGGGGAACACCACTTGTGACAGTTGCCAGCTGGATTTAGCTCCATTCACCACTGCTGTCTGGGCCTGGTCCTCCAGCCAGTTCTTTACCCAGGAAAGAGTGTACCTGTCCAAGTCATGGGCTGCCAGCCTGTACAGAAGATTACTGTGGGAGACAGTGTCGAAGGCTTTCTTAAAGTCTAGGTAGACTATGTCAGCAGGCCGGACTAGCTCCTGTTTAGCCAGTGAGCTCAGTTGAATCAACTCTGATAATCAATGGGTTGATGTCATGGCCAGATTGCCCTCGCATCCAAGTCCTGCCACCTCTGGGCTGCCTTCTAGTCTAACTCCTCTTTCACAAGCACATTTCCTCAGTATCCAGCCAGATTCCTGCCATCATGTTGCTCAGCGTGTTCTGGTTTTCCTCCCAGGCCTTGTTAGGCAAGGAACATCACCTTCTGCTCCCACTGGAGTGGGTGAGAAATGCCTAGGATTTGGCCAGCTTCTCTGGCATGAAGACAGCCACTTGAGATGCATCACCTGCCCAAGCTGGGAGGCAGCTGCTGGTCCTCGGGCTACCAGAAAATATTTGCAAAGCCCTATCGGCCAAGCTCCACACAGAAGTCCCACAGGCTCTGCATCTCACCATCCACTGTAACGAGAGGAGCAGGAAGTTTTGATCTCTAGTTTCTCTGCCATCCTCAGGACTGGGGACAGAGATGATGCTAGAGGAAAAGGGACCCCACTTTCAAGTGACCCAGGTATGGCAAGAAGCACAGCCAGGAGTTCTGCCACTCTCACTGCAGTGCCGGGTAAGTGCTGGCACTGCTCTGGTGATGGGACAGGAGGTTGCAGGGGACAGGACTGGCTCCTCGGGGAAAAGTGAGCCAGCTGCTGGGGCCGCCTTGCAGCAACGGAGCCAATCATTCTGGCCTTTGCCAGATCCCTTCCCACACAGGAGTGCAGTGCTCCTTGTTAGGTGAGTCTGTGCTGCATCTGGAGGAGTGGTGGGGTTGGGAACCACTCTTAGGTTGCAGTGCACCCTGCCCACTACAGAAAGGAGACAAAGACACCCTGAGGCCAACACCAGGAGCCAATTTCCATACCTTGAGAATGGGTGCCATGAAGACAGAAACTCCTGTCAGGATGAAGACCACCAGGCCAGTCAACCTCTGCTCCCTGCAGGCAGCAATGCAGGCATTTCAGGAGTGTCCAGGCTCTCCCAGGCACCCACAGCCCCCATCAGCCTTCATTGGCAGCAGCCTGTCTCCTGGTGCCACTGCTGTGGGCAGGAGAGGTGCAGGAGTCCCCCAGAATAGAGGCTCAAAGCCAGACGGGGAGCAGCTCACTGTGAGGCAGAGCTCGGGCCCTACCTGATGCCCAGGAATTCGGGCTGCTCGCCTGGAGCTGAGGCAGTGCTCTCCTTCCTGAGGCTGTCCATGTGTGCCAGGGAGATGACAGTGGCCGACACATACCAAGGAAGGCCCATCACAGAGGTGACAATCATCAGGAGTGAGACACAGAGGAAGTCCAGGTGAAAGCCTGCCCCTTTCTGCAAAGAAGGAAGCATCACAGTCACAAATGAGCCATGGGGCACGGCAACACTGGGAGGCCCTCCCAGCGTGATGGGAACAGGACACCGTCGCAGAAGACAGCAGGCCCTGGGCTACCGCTGACCATCAGGGCGGGTGGTAGATGTGGCAGGAAGCCAAGGATGAGCACATGGCAAAGCCAGGGAGTGGCATCTTGCCTGACGGCCGTGAGCATTCTCCCTCAGCCCTGCGGAGCCACATCTATGCCCCAGAGCTCACAGGTGACAAGATGAGCCATATGCCCTGGGCAGATGTGTGGTGGGAGCCCTGCCAGGTCCTGCATGTATCTGAGAGCATTTGTAAATATCATAAACCTTCAGATGGAGTCAAAAACACTCAAGGGCCAGCATACAACCTGATATTTGCACTCTCCTGGTGATCAGCCACGATGCTGCCCAGCCCTGAGGATGTCTGCAGCCTACGGCTGGCTTGTCCCAGCAATGTCCTATGCCCGCTGTCCCCCTCCAAGTCCTATCCACAGCCCCTCCTGCAGTGGGTGATGGAGGCATGGAGGGGATGCCTGCAGAGGGAGAGGCTCAGGGGAACCCCCAAGGCTGGTGGGAGGGCTGACACCCCCAACACAGCAAGTCCCACACCTCCTGCCTGGCAAGGGCTGCGCCGCTACAGAGCCAACACAGCAAGACATTGGCACTGCCAATGCCAGCTCTCCCATCTGCCCAGCCTGGCCCAGGCAAGAGCTCACACACAGGGTAGAGCAGTGTTCCCCATCTGTAGCCTGCACCCTGCTGGCACCCCTCCACCCCTGGGCTCTGCTCACCTGCAGCTTGTACTCCTTGCGGTTAAGAATGACAGCTGTGATCTGCTGGTCCATGAAAATGAGGATGGTGACGAGGATGGCAGGCACCACAGATGCCAGGCAGATCCACCAGGGGTTGGCTCCAAAGGGGAAGACGATCCAGCCCCTCATGGGATTTGTGGGCTGCAGAAGGAAGAAAGATCAAGCCAGCCAGTGTGTGCCTAGAGGGCCTGCAGCATAGCAGAAAGGACCAGCCTATGGGCATGAAAGCTGAATCGACATGGATGCCCTTGGATGCTCCTTCCTTGGGAGTGTGACTCACCCAGCAGCCTGCAAGGACACCCACTGCAGCAGAGCTTACTCCTGGGCACCATAAGCTGGTGCTGGGAGCTGGGCACACCTAGAACAGCACGTGCCCACCTGGGTAAGCTACAGGGGCAGCATTTGAGCCGTGGGTGGAAGAGGGAATATTGCAGAGCTCAAGCAGGTAGCAGCACACATGGACTACAGCCCAATTCATGGAAGCAGAGCATGATCCTTTGCTCTGCCAATCCCTCTCCACACCCAGGGTGGGGAGCCCAAGTCCAGGCTTGAGCTCACAACTCCTGCTCCAGCATGAGCTGTAGTGTAAGGTTGTCCTACATGAGCAGGACCAGGCCAGGCCATTTACAGACCACAGAATTGTCTGTGGCCCAACAACTTGTATGCAGTGGGGCAGCAACATAGGGGTGAAGGGCTGCAGGGCAGTCATGCCAACAAGTCCACTGTGTGTTTCTACCCAGACCACCCATCAATGGCAAAGACAGCAGCAGTGTGGGATCAGGCTCTGCAGAGGATGCAGGCCTGCTTGCCAGCAAGCTTGTGATGTCCAGCCAGAGTACACCAGCCTGGCAGCACAGTGGGATTTGGAGAAGGCGGGCTGGGGAGCCAGGCGCAGCCAGGCTGTTTATGGGGAGAGGTGAGGAGGCAAGCTCCCAGAGGCACTGCAAAGCAAATCCTACAGTGCTGAGCATTGCCAGACTTGCCGTCTAAGCCTGAGTGAGCTTGGCACGTCAGTGCTTGCAGTGCTGGCCAGCCCTCCTTGCATTGCACTGGGTCTGGCTGGGCTGGGGGCATGTAGGTCAGACACCAGCCCTTCCAGGAAGCCTGCTGTCTCCTCTTTTCTCCAAGACCTCCACGATGAGTGAGACAATGTTGGAGACAGTTCACAAGCCGGGAAGGTGAACTGGCAGCCTCCTGCCTGCAAGGGCGAGCCCCCACACACCCATAGTGTGCGTGGGATGTGCCCAGGCTGGCCAAGAGCAGGCAAGTTCAAGCAAAGGCTCAGTTCTACAAATCCTCCTTCCTCCAGGCTGTGCTGGAGGCTTCATATAAGCCCAGCAGCCCCTGCCCTGACAGTTCAGCCCAGCCAGCAACCAGTTGCTGAGCCAACTGCTCTTCAATAGTGCCCCTGATTCCCTGTCTGTCGGTCACCTTCAGCTCGCTGGGAACCAGAAGCTTGGGGGTCTCCAGACCAAGAGCCGCATCGATGGCACAGAAGATGAGGATGGCCAGGATGATGGAGAAGTCACTTACCAGCTTCCGAAACTGCAATGCCACAGACAGGGAGGTTTTCACCCACACTGGCCAGGGACCATTCCCAGGCAGCTGTGGCAGAGGGACCATCCACACAGCCCCAGAAACACCCCAGGGTCAGCCCCATGAGGCAGCCGGGGGGCACTCACCCCCGTGGGGAAGTAGCGGCTGCTCTTGAAGTGCTTGAGTGTGGTGCAGCAGAGGAAGGTACCTCCAAAGAGGAGGAAGGACAGAAGGGCAATGTCAGGCACATACGGGCAGCTGCTCCCCAGGAGGTGGCCTCCTTGGCCCAGGCACTGGGCCCGGTTCAGTGTGGCAGGAAGCTGTGGGGAAGGGTGAAGGTGGGGAAGTAAGCCAGGGATGTGGCACTGGAGCCAAAGGGCCAGTGTGGGCAGCCTGGTGCTCTGTGTCCCCTCCCAGGAGAAGGGTCCATACCTGCTGCAGGGTGATAGGTGGAGGAGACAGTGTGTTGTTGCCTGCTGTGATGTGGCCTGCAAGGCAATGGAGGGAGTCGGTGCCCCAGGAGCCATGGGGCTGCAGAGCTGGGCACCAAGCAGCCAGTACCCTGTCCCCAGAATATTCTCAGGAGTTCTGAGCTGGCTTGGCTACCCAGGTGGGGCCATGTGGGACCCCTGAGGCATGAGAATGACACCAGGCAGCAGGATAGCCCGGCCTGTGGCTGGATACTGTGGGTAAACACCAGGCCAGGGCTGATGTCTGGGAGCACCAGAGTAAAGGTTTTCAGGATGCATCCCTAGCCCAGCCCCTCACAGACTTTTGCAAGCCTTCCTCACATCCTTCACAGTTCTCTACTGTTGTCTCTGTTGTTGTGCTAAAATAGTCCTTCTTCAGCAATTCCTCCAGCAATACCAGCCCATTAATAGCTGTCCTGAAGTTGGCCAAACTGCAGTCTTTCAGGGTGAAATTTTCCAGCCTAAAGCTGTGCCTTTGGAATCATAAAGGCTTGGAAAGGGCTTGGCTGAAGCATCAGCATACTAACAGTCAACAGCAGCAGCTGCCTAGCACTGGTGCTTCAGGTGCACAGTGCCATGGCTCCACTGCCACAGTGGTCCTGCAGATATGGTGATCACCATGGAAGCAGAGACACATCTTGTTCAGATTCCATGAAACACCCTCTGAATTATAGACCAGATTATAGACTACAGAGAAAGTCTCTTGAGGTGCTGCATGGTCTGCTGAGCTCCCCAGTGTCCCACATCTTCTGGCCCCACACTGGAGGAGCTGAACTGCAGCTCACCCCACTCCCAGACTGCCAAGACTCCAGAAGCACAGCCCCAGGCTGCTGCAGGTCTCTATCCCTGCCTGAGCCAGGGGGCAGAGGGGGACAGACAGTGGCACTCCCAAAGAAGGCATAAGCCTTTGTGAGCAGCCTGACCTGGGGTCACAGGCAGGGGACAGAGTACACCTGGGGACACAAGCGACAGACTAGATGCCTGCACCAGGCACTGGGAGCTAGGCTGTGCACATCAGGGTGCTCCATCCCAGGTGACCAGGGATACAGATGGTGCTCCTGTCCTGACACCAGCCCTGCAGCATAAAGAGGCTCAGCAGGAGTCCCTGGTGCAGGGCAGATAGTGGCAGGAAGGTAGTTCTTGTATCCCACGGGGAACGGTCTGGCTCCAACTGGTACAAGAGCAGGACAAGGTGACATTTCCATGCAACTTACTGCTTATCCTTATGCCTACACCTAAGCAAGGTGTGGGGATGCCCAGGGCCATGGGAGCATCAGGTGCCAATATGGACGGGCAGGCAAGGGTAGAATTGAGCAGCCTCCTTCCTCTTGGGCTGTGAGGCATTCTTGAACTAGATATCCCTCATCATTCTCAGAGACTGTGGTGCTCCTTGGGGCCACAGTTAGCTCCCGTGGTGCCTGGGACCACCACCTCCTGCCATGCCCATATCCTTCATCTCCCCTGTGCCACTCTGATAGAGGTGTGGAGACCAATGTACAGCAGGTAGCACTGAGGTCACCATGCTGGAGCTCTGTCCCTATGAAAGCACAGCCCTGTGAGCACAGCCCAGCACCCTGCCCGCCAGCATTGTGCATGGACTTGGCCCAGGGGCCATGCTGAGTGTGTGGGCAGGAGCTGTGGCAGGCAGCTTGCATTCACCTGGGACAGATAAGTTGCAGGTGCAGCTGTACAAGGTCACATCATCAGTCTGGTAGTGCCAGTTGATGGGGAAGGCTTCTGCCAGGCTCAGCATCTTCTTTAGAGAGTCATAGATGAAGATCAGGCTGATGAGGGCACAGAAGCCTTCCTCAGTGAAGCGAGTGAAATACTGCACCAAGTGACTCGCTTCAGTGGCCACCAAAACCAAGCCGAAAAAGGCCACCCAGAGCCCAATCCAAAGGCGAAACTCCAGGTAGTCCAGACCGTAGTCCCTAGTGGGAAGAGTGGCCCAGACGCTTACTGTGGCACTCAGTCATGTGAAAGCAGACTGTGCCCAGCCCACAGATGGTGTAGCTGGGGGCTGCCACCTGGGGAGATGCCCTCACACAGTTCTTACTCGCTGAAGGAGAAGAGGAGACGCTCAAATACCAGAACTGGGCCAGTGCTGCTCAGGATGGTCAGGGGCTGGCCGGAGAAGAGGCAGAAGATGAAGCCAGTGAAGGCAGTGCCCAGGAAGCTCTCCAGTACACCCTGCAATGCAGAGGGATGGGATGCCAGGACCAGGTGAGCAGTGAGACCAGGGGGACAGTGCTCAGGTGCTGTCAACCTGATGAAGCCAGCAGAAGGACAGGTACCAGGGTGAGAGCCCCACAGACAGGAGGGAGGGGACAAAGGGCATGTGGACCTGGCATTGGCTACAGGTGTGAGGTGATTCTGCTCGGGGAGAACCTGTGGGTCCCTGCTCTGCTCCAAGCATTCAGAGCTGTAACCACAGCAAGGTGAAACAGGCAGCCTGGGGCTGCAGCTGCATGGCCTGTCACCCTGACTCCAGGTGACATCACCAACCACAAGGAATGCCAGTATGTTGAACTGAAGGAGGGAGGAAGGAGTCTGAGAGGTGCCTGAGAGGCCAGCCACTGCTCCAGGAGTCACCCCAGCACTTCACACTCGAGCTGTCACCAAAGCCAGCCCAATGGTGGGCCCAGGTCCTGATGTGGTTCAGGCAGAGAGCTGCAGAAGGAGGGCTACACCAGGGGCCACAGCTTCCCAAAGCCTGGTGAGGGGAATGCTTGGCACCCCAGCACACAGCCAGTCATGCCTGTGCCTGCAGGCCATGATCAGAGCAGCTGCCTTCCTTCAGACCCCTGCAGAACAGAGTGCGGAGTCCTGGCTGGGCACTAGGGCTCTGGGCAGCAGGGATGGGTTTGAGCACTACAGTTGCTCAGGCCCAGCCAGTGCTCTGGGACTGCCAATGGAGAACAATGCTGCAGGAGGCCCTACAGCCTGGGTGAGCAGTGCATGAGCAGGGAGCTCCATGTGGTGCTCCCCAGGCAGCCCTGCCCTGAGGAGTGCAGGCAAACCCCACATACCCCACTGTTCTGCATCACAACCCATACCCAACGTGGCACCCCAAGGCACACTGACCTGCATGTTGGCCGTTGCATCCCCCAGCATGCCCCCAAAGGTGATGGCATTGGTGACCGTTGCCAGGTAGATGTAGAGAACTGCTGAGAGGCACTGGATGTGCATGGCATCAGAGAAATCACTGCGATACCAATATGCCTTCCTTCGGATGTCTCGGATCAGCCCCCCAAAGAGTCTGCAGCAGCCCAGAGAAGAGAAGAGGCAGCAGGGCTCTGAGCACTCTCCAGCTGGCCATGGCCATCACTGGAGAGCAGAGTCCTCCCTTGGAATCATTGGCCAGTGCTGGTTGGAGGAGGTGGCCCTGGAAGCAGCGATCTGCCCAGCGAAGCTAGGATTGATGTAGCAGGCAAGGCTTCACCCTGCTCCATCACCCATCTGCATGTACTGACCTTCCTGTCCTCTCCAGCTCTTCACTGGTATGCAGATGGGCCAGGCTAGGCCTGTCCTTGGCAGCAGTTGTGTTCCCGTTGCAGCGAGATTTCCACTCCCGCAGGTGCATGGAGATCCTGAGGCAGAGCCAGGGGAGACTGAGCAGGTGAACTACAGACCAAAGCCCTCAGGACGTCGATGCATCAAGAAGATGCGATCAAGGACAGAGAGGATGGAAAGGGAACAGGGCTGGAGGGACCTTCTGTATTCCCTGGCAGTGAGGTGGGGTAGGATGAGGACAAGATATCTCCACCAGCTGGCAGGTCAGCCCCCTGAACCAAACCTTTACAGACTAGTTATGAAAGAGAGCTGGGCAGAGCAGGAGGTGTCCTGCTGGAAGGTGCTGAGTCCCCGTGTTCCCAGCAGCTCTTGCTTGGACATTGCATGGGATGGTTTTGCCACTCCCTCACTGGTAAGAGCCAAGTGGGACTGCAGAACTAATAACACCAGGACCATAGTGGTCTGCATCAGCTGGAGCTGCAAAGGGGCTTGGCCAGGAACACTTCACTGACAAAGGCTGGCTCCTAGGATAGCTTCACCCCTATTGAGACCCAGATTTCCTAAAGGTGCCTTCCAACCAAACCATTCTATGATTCTATGATTTCAGCATCACAGGCTTGCAGCAGAGGTCTTCAACTGGGACCCTTCACAGGAGCCATCAAAGGCTGTGGGTGCCCTCCCCCCAGGATACCTCTTGTTTGAGGACGACAGGCAGTGTGGTGGAGGAATTCGGTCACTGGGGTCCCATTTTCCAGGAGGAAGCACAGTCAGTTCATCCAGAAACTCATCAATCCCTGCAATAAGGTCTTCTTGGTGCTTAGCCTGCCAGGCAATCCTTTGGAAGAGCTGTGGTGAGATGCAGTGGATTAGCCACAAACTCCTGCATTCAGCTAATCAGAGCCTTTCTCCCAGTATGTAGACACCACTGAGGAAGGCACCCATCCAGTCCGTTGCAATGGATGTGCTTAGACCTTATAACCACCCAAATCCTTTGTTTTCTCATCCTGGGCCAGGAAGGCTGCCAGCCCACCCTGTCCTTGGCCACCTCTGCTGCAGCCTGCAGAGAATAGGAGCCTTGGCGTCCTCAGCAGCATTCTGCTGCTGTGTGCTCAGGACAGGTGCTGTGTTAGCTTACCTCATCTGTCAGCAACGTGGCCATAGCTCTTCCAATCTCATGGTAGGCTTTCGCTTTGGCTTGAGGGCCCAGCAGAATGAAAAGAAACCTGCAGACAAGACAGCAACCCATGAACATTGCAGTACCAGCAGCTTCTCTAAGGGAGCTCCTTTTGAGAGCAGGCAGTGTGCTGCCAGGTACTCTGCAGGCAGTCTGCTAAGCATATGGGGAGTGGGTGGGTTCATCTGTACAAATTGGCTAATGGTGGTGACTGTGTTGGAAAATAGTGTTCTATAGCTGAAAATCTATCAAGCTGTGTTATTGTGCTCTTTGTATCTGCTGTAGTTTCAATGGAAAAAAATAGGAGGCATCACTTTTGGAACGACCAACGTACATGCATCAGGATTATGGGAAAACTAGAGAGTTAATATCCAAGAGATGGATCTGAGTGGGAGATAGCCCCAAAACACTGACTGTACCTCGAAGTGGCAGGCAAAGGGGGATTGGCGCTCAGGATATGGAGATGGGCGGGGACGAGCTCTCCTTCCATCCCATTCCAACACAGAGAGGAAAAAGGGCCATTCAGAAAAACAGTTGCTGTCAGCCAAATAAAAACACTCAGCAAGACTCCACATGGGTCTGTCTCGACCTCAAAGCCATATACATTTCCCTTTAAGGAGAGTGCAGGAAGTGAATGCTCCGTTCCGTGCATGCTCATCACGGGTGCTCTGGCCTGAGTGACCAGGAGGTGGCAATGTCCATCCTGATCCCCACCCCTCCTCAGGGTGCTTCCTAAGGAAGTCCTCACTTAAAAGACTCACACTGACGTGTTCTTGTTACAGCTTCGAATGATACCATCTAAAAAACATCTCCTGTCTCTGTTCCTCACCCTCTCTGCTGACATTGCCCCGGACAAAAGCTCTGAAAAGCACCCCCACAGGGCAGCTTGGCAAGAGAGAGCGAGAGTCCTAGAAATCTGCATCTCTTTCCAGCCTTGATCACTGATGCTCCCAAGGAGTAAGTGGGATGCATTCAGAGGCCCTTAGGGAGGAGGATGAATGCAGAGCCCATATAGGGGCAGCATTGTGTCTGTGCCCCCGAGGCTGCCAGATAGCACTGACACTGCTCTTAGAGTATCCCCACTGCAATGGTGAGTGCCTCTGAGGTGCTGCAGGATGCAGGAGGGGAGGCAGTGAGTACATGCAGGCTCTGTACATGGTTTTGGGTGTCTTCTCCTTTGCTTTCACCAGGTCTTTTACCGGTCTTCCTACAGGTGCTGGGGCCCCATGGCTGTTCTGTGCTCCAAGGCACAGAGCTTAAGGGATGGAGGAGGCAGCGGGGCCACTGACAGCAGAAAGGCCTACATGGCCACTCGCTGTGCTCCTGTTACCTGCTGGGGAGGGCAACTTCAGCCAGTGAGCCAAGGGTCACAGCCTCTCTTAAGCGAAGGAAGACGGGAAATGGCTTCTTCAGGAAGTCGACTTCCCCGACCATAACGCTGGCTACTTCGGCCCCTGGCAGAAGCTTCTTCTTAAATTGGTTTCTCAGCTGAAAGGACATGGAAAGTCAGGTCCATGTGTGACAACCAATTGAGACCAAACTCCAGATTCCAGCCTCACCGTCTACCCCACGACCCCCTCTCCTCCTCCCAGGCCACCTCCCTCTGGGCCCTCTGGCCTGGGGGCTCTCTGCCTCCCCCCCACGGAGGCTGCATCCTGCAGTGACAGGCACAGGTCCTGACCTTTCTGTAAAACCTTTCTGTGCCATTTGTGGACAGAGCTTTTCAGCTCATTTAGGGTATGAGACCAAGAAACGGATGCATTTCTTGGAAAAACTGTTTCTCCCATAGAGACCATTGATCCATCTGCCCAGCCCTTCCCACCCTACCTGCTCCTTGAGAGGTGTTTGTGAGAGCTGGGTTCTGGACTCAGGGCAGGATTTGGTCTTCCCTGCAAAGAAACAGAACAAGCAGCAAAATGTATGCACAAACAAAAGGTCAACACGGTACATGTCCCAGGGGCAGCAGCAGATGCCAGCCCCTGCTGTGTTGCCAGGTGTACCTCTGCAGGGAGCAAGGCTGAGCTCTGTGAGCACACGCAGCGGGGCTGTGGTGGTTCGGTGCAGCGGCTGGCAAAGCAGCAAAGCTGCCAGGCAGTCCTGCAGCTCAGGCTCCCATGCATCAGGCTGTGCAGAGAGTGCTTTTTCTGCAACACAGGGCAGTGCTGAGCCCCAGCTCTATCCAGCCATGGGGCTCTGCTGGGGAAAGCCCTCTTTGCTGGTGGATCCAGGTTACCCTCTGTCACTCTAGCTCCTGTCACGGGAACATCCCATCCCATTTTTCTGCATTACCCACATACCGATTATTTCCTTGAAACTGTGGGCATCCAGATCCAGCAGCACTGTCCCCTCCTGCAAACATGTCCTCAGCTCAAAGAGGCTGTGCAGGCGGAGTGCTGGGACATGAGGTACGCTCCAGCGCTCCCCTCCATCTTCCACCTTCTCCTCAAATTTAATCCACCTGCCAAGGAAGAAACGCAGTCAGGAGCAGGGAATGTCTGCTCTGGTGTCCTGTGCTCAGCAGCAGGAACACAGATCCCTAAGTTTGGCTTGGGCACATGTCCTGCCACTCCACACCTTGCTGCTCCCCTGGCCAGAGGGATTCCACCCAGCCCCATGGCCAGCAGTGCTTGCTGGCAGTCAGAAGAGAAGTGTTTGGAGCAGTTTGTCATGCTCAGGCTGTGCCAAATCCTTGCAGAGCAGCACACACAGAGCTTCCCTTTGTCCACTGGCATGCAGCACAGGGCAAGCATGCCCAGCAGCACCCACAGGGCAGTGCTGGCCACCCCTCGGGGCAGAGCCCAGGGCAGCCTGCTGCCAGGCCTGAGGGTATTGCCCAGGGCACAGCTGTATGGGAGAGCAGGGCCAGGTGCTGGGAGAGCCCCAGCATTCAGGCACATGGCTCCAAACCTGCAAGGCTCTGTGGCAGGCCTACTGCCGCGTGGGGACTGCCAGCATGTATCTCTGTGTCTCCTTCAGGCATCGCTGTTGAGCTGCACAGGAACAGCATGGTGAGGTGGCATTTCCCACCCCACACCAGAACTGGGATGGGCCTGGCTCTGCTGTATCCCTGCCCAGGATCTCATTGCTCTCCCCATGCTCCACCTGCCCTCCTGGCACTCAGCTCTGCCCCCAGGCTGCTTCTGACTCCTGCTGCCCTGAATGTCTGAGCCATTTTCAGGCTCTGCTACTGCATTCCTACTGCAGCCCAGCTCCACGCTGGGAGTGCTACCCCTGGCCAAGCCTTTTTTATGGACTGGTCTTGCTTGCTCTGGAAAAGAAACCAAACTATCTCCTAGGGCTTCAAGGCACATGCACTGGGATCATGGCCACAGACCTCTCACACCTGCAGTGCTTCAGCTCTCTGAGGTGAGCGGTGCAACTCCTTTCCCACCAGTGGTTTGTGGGAAGGTTGCATCCCCTGCCTTGAGAAAGAGCTGCCCAGCACCAATGACTGCTCACACTGCACCCAGGCTTCACCTCTGACGCAAATGTCCTGCAGAGCACATCCTTCTGCCCAGCTTTCCCATGATGTCCTCTTTGCCCATTTCCCAGAGCACAGTGCTTTCAGTTCTGCCCAGCCAGACAGCGAAGTGCTCCCACAACTGGCTTGCTGCCGGGGACTTGGAGAGTCAGTGAATGCAGAAGCAGAACTAAGAGAATTACGTGAATGCTGTGAAAAGACAGTGTGACCATTTGCACCCAGCCTGACACAATGCTCTCACAGGGGGCAGAAGCTTTCACATGAAATGAGTCACTCAAAATCAGGAACAAGAGTTTCCTGGAAGGCACAGTGCAAGCACTGGAGGCAGCAAAGCAAACCAAGCACTCTCACAGTGTAGGGCACTCCTAGGGCACCCCCAAGCAGAACACTTACAGGCTTCCCCCCGTGCTCCCACTTTGCCACTAAGCCCTGCCTGCTGCCCACTGCCTACCTAGCTGTTTCTCTCCACGCCAGGCCTGATGCAGTGCTGAACAGCTCATTGAGCTGGACGAACAGCGGTGGCCACTTTCGGTCCCCCACCTCTTCCTGCTGCAGGATGGCACTGATGCGCTCAGCTGCCGAGGAGATGCTTGGTGAGAAGATGCTATGGCTGATCTCTGTGTGGAGAAGCTCAGAGCTGTGGGTTGCAGAGTCCCCCTGCCCAGGCTGCACAGCTGGAGCCGTGCTGGCTGGCCCAGGCACTTCGGCTCTCATTGTGCAGAGCAGCCAGGAGCCACATGCATCACTGGGCACTTGCTCTCTGCAGCTGCCTGTACTCGCAGCACCTCACTCATCACATGCTTATAAAAGTTGTGAGCAAGTTCAAACTGGCCGCAGACCAACAGCCAGGAGTCAAACCCCAAACAGTGTTATCAAAACACAGTGGCCAGCCCTGAAGGCTCTGGTGTCGGTGGCTCCCACTGCTCCAGCTGCTCATCTGGGCAAAAGACTGGGGAATCCCAGCTCTGCCACCAGCTGCATCAAACCTGGGCTGGTGGGTGGCACAGCCCATCACTACTCACCTGGCTCACTGCAAGGGACATGAGCATGATGCAGACAGCTGCTGCCATCACTCTGTGACTACAGCAGAGAGGATGAGGTGTGAGTCTCCCAGCTAAATGTCACACTCAGGACCTGCACCTGCCCCTGAGGCCAATCATAACTTGCTCTTATGCTCTGGGAAGAAGCAATGTGGCTCTGAGCCTTCCCAAACCTCACAGGGCTTTGGAGAGCACAGGGCAAGGCCAAGAACGGATCTCTGATGGCAACATCAGTGCATGAGATGGGAAGTGCATGGCCCTGTGGCAGCAATGCTGAGGCAGGGGAATGTGGCATGGTGTCCTCCTTTGCTGTCACTGGGCCATGGGGATGCATGACTGGGAGGGATGTGTCACCACTGAGGGAATCTGGAGTGGGGTAGAAGGGGCTGGCAGAAGACAGCCTACATCCCCAGGACAGCAAGAGGCCTCTCTGACTGCCACCCCCAGCCCCACCAGCGGCCTGCAGCTGGCAGCCAGATTAGGGCTGAGAGCATCAAGGGATGCCCATAACAGCAGGCCAAATGGGATGGGGATGAGTGCGCTGTGTTGCCACAACACATGGCCCTGCTTGCACAGAGTGTGTTGCCACCAGGTTTTGCTACCTTCACTCTTTGCAAACAAACAGCCTCATTGTATAGAGTGCAAATACCACAACATGCAGCACAAACACCCCAGCAAACACAGGCTGCTTGTACTGGAACCAGCCAGCTGGCCTGTGCAGCAGCGACTGATGGGAGCAGGGTGGCACAGAGCCAGACACCAGTGTGGCAGATGTCACGTTCGGGGCAGCACGGGTGGCCATAAACTTTGGCCCTTGTGCCAAAGGGGAACACAGTGAGTTGAAGTGTGCTGAGATATGCCTTGCAGAAACTGGGTTGGCTCAATGGGCTTGGAGCTGAGGGTGAGGCTAGGACATGGCTCATGAGGCTCTGGGATGTGCCAGGCCCCCCATGCTGAGCAGGACAAGAGCTCTTCTCACATGTAGAGCTCAAGTCTTGTGAGCAGCGACTGAGGGAGTCAGGATTGTTCAGCCTGGAGGAGGATCAGGGAAGACCTCATTGCTCCTTGCAGCTCCATGATAGGAGGTTGTAGCGAGGTACCAGCCTCTACTCCCACGTAAAAGAGACAGGATGAGAGGTGATGGCCTCACGTTGTGCCAGGGGATGTTCAGGTTGAGTGTTAGGAAACATTTATTCTCTGAAGGAGTGATAATGCATTGGCACGGGCTGCCCAGGGTGGTGGTGGAGTCACCGACCCTGGAGGTGTTCCAGAAACATGTAGACATGGCATTGGGAACGTGGTCAATGGGTCAGTGGGCATGGCGGGGACAGGCTGATGGTTGGACTTGGTGGTCTCAGAGGCCTTTCCTAACCCTAACGCTTCTATGATTCTATGTGCTGTTCAGTCTTTCCTCTGCCCTCTCCAGGTTGCAGTGAAAGGTCAGCCTACTTCTCCATGAGGCACCCAGTCCCACCCTGACGAGATGGGACCCCTCCCCATCAATCCTGCTTATCCCAAGGCTACAACCAGAACTTCCCCACACCCCTACCCTGCTCTGTGCCTGCATCCCACCGCTCCTCCCAGCCCCCAACAACCAGCAGGTGCTGAATGGTGCCACCCCACCAGGATCCTTCCTGCCACAGGCACAGAGAAGGGAGCAGCACACGACACTGCGGGGGCAAAGCTGGCACGGACATCTCGGTACCCTCGGCGCTCAAGTCGTGTCCTGGAGCTGCCGGAAGGAGTCGGGCAGAGGCGGCAGAGCTGAAGGCTGCGATGGCCGCGAGAGACCGCAGGAGGGAGCCGGGGGGAGCCGGCTACCAGCGAGTGCCGCGGGGCGCTCCTGGGCGCGGCAGGGGCTGCGCAGGGGTGGCCGGCGGCAGCCGATCCCCGCTCCGCCAGGATCCCTGCAGCCGTACTACCCGCCTGCTGTGTGCCGCGGCCCCGTCTGTCCACCCCCACTTTGCCCTTAGTTTAGTGTTGGCCCTTTTCTCCCGTTTCTCCGTCTGCCGCGGCTCGGCTGCCACGTCTCAGGGAGCTGAGCGCTGCCCTGGGGCTGAACTCAGTCACCTGAGTCGTCCAGAAGCCTTTACCACCCTAGCTGCACTCTGCGTACAGCCGCGCTGTTTGCTCTGCGATAACGGCGTTTTCCTAAGGAGTGTGCCGGGGCTCGCAGCGGGGTGGTGTGCAGCTGCCAGCAGAGCTGGAGGGTCGCCTGGCAGCATAGTGGGTGCAGGCTGGCACCGGGGCATGAGCACAGTGGAGACCATAGAGCTGCTCCCAGCGCAGTGCCTACCTCATCCGGACCTTCCCAGAGCAGCTCCAGGGAAGCGGAAGCATGGAAATGCACAAGTGGTTTTGCCTCCGGATTTGCTGTGTTCAATATGGGGCTGCAAGGAACCAAAAGAGAACTGTAAACTTTATCTTTCCCAGAGTGTTTACTCAATGTAATATAAAGATACTCAATGTATCTTTGAGCTTGGCCGCTGCTGTGGTTCCTCCGGAACAGCCAGTTTTTTCAGTCATTTCCCTCTGTCTGCAAAAGGTCTTTTCACACCTCACATAGAGAAAAGAGCAATTGAAGAGCAGGGCAGAGAGAAAAGTGTTTGCAAAGATGCTGGAACTAACCCAGGGCCAGGAATAGCACCTGGGAGCACCCTAGTCCTGCCAGACGCAGCAAGTACCCCATTCGGCTGCGTGGGCCACCTGGAGCAAAAGCCACTTCCAAGGGCACAGCCATACCTCTGCTGACCTCGGCGCTGCCTTTGCACTCTGCCAGGTAATGCAAATGCACCACCTCCTGTGTGCCTCAGCTGCAGAAGGTCGTCCTAGAAGATTTTGGTGACAGGGAATGTGCAGGGGAGAAAATCCCTTCCTGAGGCAGGGACGTGACTGGGGAGGGAGGTGCGGGAGTGGTGGAGCTGCTAGTACTCAGCGGGTCAGCAGGGCAGGAGCTGCTGTGCAGTGACACACTCACCTCACCTGTGCTGCCTCTGCGCCAAATTCTTAAAGGCTGGTGATGCCCAGAGGAGCCGGAAGGAAAACCATCCAGCAAACAATTACATAAGTCAGGTCTGAGCAAAGCAGAGGGTGTGAGCCAGGGGGTTACCAAATCCGGCAGTATTCCTTGGAGACAACAACAGCAATCACAGGAATATTTAATCATGCTGCTGCTGTGCTGTGCGGAACCGAAACTGGCATCAGAGTTTTGGGCCTGGGAATTTGAACTACCACCAAGAACAATGCAGGGCAGGTGGCCATGCCAAATGTGACCTGGAACAATGCCTACCACTGCACTTGCCCAGTGTTTGGCATCACCACTGTTTTCTGGCCTGTCACCTTGGATGAAAATAACGCCAAACATAACACAACCCAAAGTGGTTCTTGGGGTGGTAGAGGACACAGACTGCTGGAGCAATGGGGCCAGTAGCCAGGGCAACCTGCTGACGTGCTTCATTCTTTGGGGAAGCCACAAGTTCACCTGGTTAATGGCCTCACCATCCAGGCACAGAGGTGGACCCATGGAGTCACAGGGGGCTGAGGCTATTGGAGACCTCTGGGTCCATCTGGCCCAGCCAGGCCCCAGCAGAGCCACCCAGAGCAGGGTATTCAGCACCACATCCATTCAGCTTCAGAGATGTCCCAGGAGGAGACCCCACAGCATCTCCAGTCTCTGTGCCAGCACTCTGCCACCTGCACTGCACAGCAGTGCTGCCAGACAGTCAGAGGCAACACCTGTGTCGCACTGTGTGCTCTTTGCCTCCTGTTCAGACACTGGGCACTCTGAGAGGAGCCTGGCTCTATCCTCTATATGCCCTCCCTTCAAGTATTTATGGGCACTAATAAGATCTCCCCTGGGCCTCCTCTAAGCTGAATGCTACAGCCCCCTCAGCCTGTCCCATAGGAGAGATGCTCCAGCCCCTTCAGCCTCTCCGTGGCTGTTTTCATGCTCTCCATTTATGTCCTCTGACAAAAAGGACTTCCACTATCTCTGCAGGCTGCTACGCAGAGTTGTCTCCCATCATCACTGAGTGGTAACAGGGAAAGAATCACACAGCTGAATCATAGAATCATGAAGGTTGGAAAAGAGCGCTAAGATCATGGAGTTCAGCCATTGACCAGTCCCACCGTGCCGACTGACCACATCCCTCAGTGACACATCACCACGTTTCTGGAATTCCTCCAGGAATGGTGACTGCACCACCTCCCTGGGCAGCCTGTGCCAGTGCATCACCACACTATATGCAAAAAAATGTTTCCTAATATCCAATCTGAACGTTCCTTGGTGCAACATGAGGCCTTCGCCTCTCGTCCTATCGCTAGTCCTCTAACGGTTGCCAGCCCCAGTGCCAGTGCGAAGGAGGAGGTTTCAGTTCCGTGCCGTTCTGTTCTGCTTCCAACACCTCGCGGGCGGTGCTTAGCGGAGCCCCGCTCCTCTCCAGACCACTTTCCACGGTAGTATTAGGCTGCAGAGAGCATCCTACAGCTCCTCGCACCGCAGCGAAACCCGACGGAGGCGGCCCCGCGAAGCCCCGGGGAAGCCCTTCCCGGAGGAGGGGCGGCCCCCAGCACCGCCCGGCCCCGCCCCACCGCCTTCTACCCGCGGCGGGGCCGTGCGGGTGAAGAGTCGCTGCGGAGCGGAGCGGGGCTGAGCTGAGCGGCTGCCGGGACGCTGTGCCCGGCCATGGACGGGCGGGCGGTGCTGATCCACGCGCTGCTGACCGCA